TCCTCGCACATTTCATTGTAGTATTTTGCTTTGTCATTCCAAGCAGCCTTTTGGAATCTTCTGTTCAGCTCTTTAGTATCTTGAATTCTTCCTTTCTGAAGATTGCACTGGAGCAATTCCAATACGGAAACCAATTCCATTCTTTAACACGATGGAAAAGGCAATTTCCAACATTATCTGGAATGGAAAAAGATCTCGAATAAGCAAAACACTACTGAAAAAGAGAAACAAGATAGGCAGCATCATACTCTCTGATCTCAAATCCTACCACACAGCTGAGGTGCTTAAGACAGAGAAACCGTGAACCAGGTGGTTCTTAAACTGAATCCAGCCTGGCCCAGTTTCCTACAGTCCCCAGCCAACCCTCTACATAAAGTGTTAGGCCTCAGCTTTCTGTAGAACCTGCTGGAAACATCAGCTTATCTAATACTAGTGGTCCCTGTCAATCACTTCAGAAATTCTGCCTGGAAATCCAGAGTTCTGTTCCAGAAATGACAAGGCTCGAGACCCATGGAAATCAAAACATCTTGGGAATCTTGCCATGTAGCAAACTAATTGGCTCCCATTTCCATGTTGTTGTTGTTATATGTCGTCAAGTCGCCTGTGACTTGGAGCGACTCTATGTACAATAGCTCTAAACCATGCCCTATCCTGAGCCAGTCTAACTCTGACACACCTATTCCCATTACCCCAGTAACTGTGTCAATCCAACTCTTCCAGGCTCTTCCTCTCCTATAGTGTTCCTCTACCCTGGTCTCTCCTGGAATAGAACTCTTATTCGAGATCTTTTTCCATTCCAGATAATGTTGGAAATTGCCTTTTCCATCGTGTTGAAGAATGGAATTAGTTCCAACTCTAAGGCAATGAATTCATTGAACTTCTATTATTCAAAAGTTGACAGTTCCCCTGAAGACTTAATATCCTCTTTTATTTGAGATGGAAGTTAATATGATTAGGATGACTCGCCATCTCCAATAGCCACATAGCCCCAGGATCTATATGACCTTTTGCCAAATCATTCTGTGTTGAGTCCATACTTTAAAAGGAAGTAAAATAATGAACACATGAAGAGTCAGAGTATAGAGAAATGCTGTAAAAGTCAAGGGATTTTCTTCCAATCTATAGTAGTGACTTAACAAATGTGAGCAGAGTATGATAGGTTAGAGATGCAGACATGACCCTCACTTCATTACTGCAGGTGTGTGGGAAGAGGATGTAAAAAGGAAGCTTGAATCATGTTAGGACGGGACTTTTGCTGGTCCCTTAGAGGCCTTGTCAGTTCCTTAGAGAACTCTTCTTGTTTTTCCATGTGTCTCATCTTGTAACCATAGGTTACCGCAGAGACCATAGACAGGAAGCAAATGCCCTTCATGTTTGTGCAAGGAAGGACAGTAGGGAAAATTCAAATGCCTCCTTCATCTATACCCACAGGCCATTATGCTCATATCTTTATTTGGAAGCGCTTCAGTTTTCTTCCCTTGTGCCATGCCATATGCCTCTCTGGTGAACTCATTATGCATTATAAACTTTGCAAAAAGATAAACTACAAGGTGGAAAAGAATTTGGGGAGTCATATACCTGACAAAGTTTTATTTATCTAAATATATAAAGAACTCTTGTACCTTAAAAAGAAAAAGATAAACAACTGAATAAAAAAAACAATAAAAAAAATTTCAAAAGACATCTCACCGAAGAGGACATACAAATGACCAACAAGCCAGTGAAAAGATACCTAAGCTCATTAGCTGTTGTGTGCTCTCAATTTTATTCTGATTCACAGTAATGTTAGAGGATGGAGTAGAACTATCCCATAGAATTTCTTAGGCTGTACATATTTACAGGACAAATCACTAGGTTTTGCTATCTGGTAGTGGTACTTGAATCGCTGAGCTTTTTGTTAGTAGCCAAGCTGTGGAAGTTGCAAATGTAAACAACAAGGTGATACCACTTAACTCTCATTAGGATGGCTAAGGTGAAAATTCTGGATATAAGAAATATTGTGGAAGATGTAGAGAAATTGACATCTTCATCCATTCTGGTTATAATGGAAAATGGTAAGACCTCTGTGGAAAATAGTTCCTGTGTCCTCTCCCCATCTCAGGATACATTAATCCCCTGTGTGATGGTTTATACTGTGTGTCAACAAGGCAATGATCCTCAGTATAAGATAACTTTGCTATGTGTTGTAAGTTCTAACCTCTATGATGTTAATGAGGCAGGGTTAGACGTTCTGTAAAGATGAACAGTTTATCTGATTCAGGAGAAATCTCCAGTGACCTACTGGTAAGAAGCTGCACTACAATCCCAAAGGCACTTGATTTGAATCCACCGTCTGCTCTGCCGAAGAAAGATGGACATCTTCTCCCATGTGACTTATTGTCTCTGAAAATCCATTGGACAGTCAACTATGGATCTGTTGCAAGAGACAATCATAAGCAACAGTCTCATTCAGGGGAAACCTCCCAAGGATATGATCTTCACAGGTAATATGTTCAGATATACATGGGAAGAAAACTAGAAAGCTTTTTGTCAAATCTACATCTGGCTATCTGATTCATGGCCTCCAGACTTGAATCAGTGGCTTCCCATTCTTTAGATTCAATGGTCTCCAAAGCTAGACATCTGTAACTCCACTCTTCCACAAGAACCTTTAAATAATAAGCCTCTGAAGCCAACATTCTCCAAAGCCAGCAGCCTGAGGCCCTGCCAATCTATTGACAACTCGGACTCATTATTATCCTTTATTGAAGTCTAAACTACAGACCTGGGAATGCTGGTGTTGTTATGTGTTGTTCTGTTCATTATGACTCATAACAACCCTAGGAACAACAGATCAGAACCTTGTCCTATCTTGTGCCATTCTCACAATTTCTGACATGCTTTACGTCAATCCCCCTCGCTGAGGATATTCCTCTTGTTCTTTCCAAGCATGGAGTGGTCTCTGACAGCAGACTTTTTCCTAAAGCAACTCATCTTTTGGATTCCTGACTGCTGATGTGAAGAGTGTTGATTGTGGATCTGAGCAAGATACAGTTGTTAACAACATCAGTGTTTTTCCACCTATCAGGATGCTTCCAGTTGGCTCAGTGGTGAGTCTATTTTCTTGAAGTTGAGATGCAATTCATATTGAAGACTGCAGTCCTTGAATAACAATGGAGGCAGATGTGTCAGAGACAGTAAAGTTGACTCAGGAAAGGGCCAGTTTCAGAGATATTGTTCATAAGATCACTGAGTCATAGTTGACTAAACAGCACTTAACAACAACCTCTAAGAAGAGCCCTGGTTGCAAAGTTCAAAACTTGGGGTTTTGGCAGGTTTTTTGGCAGTCCATAGGATATTCATTACTCTTCTTCAACATGATAGTTCAAGAGTTCTGGTCATCCTTACCCTTTGTTCAACTTTCAGATGCACAGGAAGCAATTGAAAATACTGTGTCTTCAGTCAGGTGAATCTTACTCTTTAAAATGACACTGTTAGTCTTTAGCACTAAGGAGAGGTTCTTCACAGCATATTTTCCCAATGCAATACATCTTTTGATTCCTTGACTTCTATTACTGTGGGTGCTGATTGTTGAACCAAGTAAAATGAAATCATTGGCAACTTCAATCTTTTCTCCATCATGATGTTGCCAGTTGATACAGTGGTGAGGATTTTCAATCTTGGGAATAATATAATCCTGTGAAAATATTATATCTATGTATCTGGGAGCTCTGGTGGCCTAGTGAACAAAGAAATGTATTGTCAGCCCAAAGGCAGACAGTTCAAATCTACCAGGTGCTCTGAAAGAAAAAAAGGGCTCTCTCCTCTCGTGTGATTTGCAGCTTCTGAAAACCCACTAGAGAATCAATAATGATTCACTTCTGATTTTGACAGCAATGCTATTTTCTTTTTAGTTTACTTGTTTTGCTTCTCTTAAGAAACCAGCCTATCATACTTTGGTATCAATAAATATATGATCATGTACAGGAAGACTTGCCAATCAGAGAAGTTCACCCAAACCTTTGGTGTTCAGAGATTTTTATTGGGATTCAATCACAGAGAGACAGCCTCAGTGACTTATCTTTAATCTCCAGTTTCTTTTGAGTAGATCAGATACTGTGTAACCCTAAAACCCCACCAAACTTCACATCATTACAAAGTCCTCAGCTTTCAGTGCACAAAGACATCAGGGCACCAAAGGGTGGTATCAGGTTTCCAGGTAAAACTTGTTCTTTCCTCCTAATAGTGTTAAGATTCTTGAGTAACAGAAACAACCCATAGCAGAGTGAATATCGCCCACGGTGACTTGAGAATTCCCTCCCTACATTACACCCACTTTCCCTCCCCAGTGCCATTCCTTTCACAATTGGCCCAAATTAGCCATGCTATGGATCCCAGTTCTGCCTTCACAAGGCTTTGACAGGCTTTGGGGACTCCAAGAAGAACAAGGCATCCACCAGAGCAGTTGGCAGGTAGCTCATAGGGAGGTAGAGGAACCTGGCATCCCAACCAGCTGAATATCGGGTTCGGGGGTGGCAGGCAGTCAGTGCATGCTCTATGCAGTCTGTGACCAAGGACAGTGATGACGAAGAGTTACTAAGATTTCTTTCTGATAGTTTGAGATCTGTCAAAATGAGAAAAGACATACATAAAGCTTACATGTTTTTATTTTTCCCACTCAAGGCTATAATTAGAAAAGTAAGTTTCTGGGAATATCTGAGGTCCACAAGCCATGTCTCAAATCTACTCCTTCTTCTTTGGCAAGCACCCCAGAGCTGTTGTTCCACATAAAACGAGTTTGGGGTCTCAGCTTGAGAGTATTTGGAGGACATTGATCAAAGTTCTGATAACACCAGAAATCTAGTGGCATGAAAAACAGCTGTCTCTAACACAGGCTTTCTAGGCGTCTATAGGTGTCTTATAATCTAACTTCAGTTTCTTCCTCAAAATAATTGTGAGGTACTGAAACATGGTCCCAGGGTTTTAAGCACGGGCCTTTCCTTTCTAAACACTGTGACACTGATGTGCCAAATGTGATAATGGTTACCCATGGTGGACAGTATTTGGTAGGGCTTCCTAATTAAAACAAAGCAGAAGTGGCATCCACTTCCAAAATGGCTTGCCTCCAGAAACTCTATGAACAGTGCTCAGGTCTTTGATTCATAGGGTCGCTATGAGTCATGTGCGACTCGACAGCACTTAACAACAACAACTACTACAAAACAAACCAAACCAAAATACAAAAACAACAGTTGGTCCTACAAGATCACATGAATAAGACTAAACATCCCTACTTGGGGACGGCAGAGCCTAGAGGACAGACCTAGAAACAGATGAAGCAAAGAGTGATAGGTTCAGGCTTTATAACAAGGGTTTGTTTCTCTGTGCTTTGTCCACAGCCTACTCACAGGAAGTCAGGAACTCCTTGCCATAGGCCTCCTTGACCTCTGGGCTGGTCTGTTCCCACACCTCCAGGATGCTCTGTGAAATCCTATCACTGTCAGTCATTTTAGTCTTGAATATACCAGGCTCAATCACAGCCACCTTCACCCCAAAGGATGCCAGCTCTCTCCTGCAAGGCAGACAAATACAGGACAAAGGACGTCAGGGGCTTTGAATAAACTTGAGGGGCAAACAATAAACTAAAGCCTAGGACTGAGGTGGGACAGGTTGTAAAGCGTACTAAATTAGGTAGTACAGAGGCCAGTGGGAGAATAATGACCACAATATTGCTTTACATGTGTTGTTAAGTGCTGTCGAGACGTAGGCGACTCACAGCGACCCTATGAACGAAAGACCTGGACACTTGTATACATTTCATCCTTTCTCCAGGTTCATAGGGTTTCCAGAGGCAAGCTATTTCAGAAGTGGATGCCATTCCTGCTTTACATAGTGCTTGAATTAATTTTCAAACAATTTTACCCAATGAACTGCTTAGCTCTAAATCTTACCTATCTTGCAACGTGGCACCACTGACATGCTATTCCTTTTCTTTTCCTCAAGCCCAATAAAATGCACCTCTCTCCAGTCTCTGTCCTCCCTTGTCTTACTGAACCTCTAGGTGGGCTCTCAGTTGAGCTCCTGCATCCATTGTTTAAGGAATATCTGTCTTCAGCTTTACCTTTGATCCAGTTTATCATTGGAAGCCTTGGAGTTTTGGTAGTTGGGCAAAAAGGGGCTTCCAGTAAGTGATTCCTGACTGAGGGTCTCAGATCATCAGAGACACATTCCACATTCTTGTTGCTAAAGACACACGAGGAATTTAGAGAATAGGCTGCATTTAATATCAGGGGTGAACTTTAAAAACAGCTAAAAAAACACCCCAAAACAAACAAACAAAAAAAACCCCATACAAACCCCAGCTTAAAAAAAAATCCACTCCAGTTCTTATAAAATAATACTCTAGAGCTAAGTTTATACTCTGAGTTTATTGAGGCTAATTTGACCAACCAGCTCCAAGACTGAAATTGTCACTGATTTCATCTTACTTGGATCCACAATCAATATCCTTGATACCAGAAATCAGGAAACCAGATTTATTGCCCTGGGCAAGTCCTCTGTCATGACTCTCTCCAAATTATTGAGGAATAATGATGTCAGTTTGAATACTAAGGTATGCCTGATTCAAGATATGGTCTTTTCAATAATTTGCTATATGTCTGAGAGCTGGACAATTGAATAAAGATGACAGGAGATAATAAATGCCTTTGTGTTGGAGAAAAGCACTGAATATCCTGTGTACTGCCAAAAAAAACATATGCCTTGGAGAAAACATATCCAAAATTCTTCTTGGAGGCAAAGATGGCAAAGCTTCATCTCATATTTTGGGCATGTTGCTAGGAGGGGATATTCCTTAGAAATGGATGTAAAGAGGGTCTGCAAAAGAAAGGAAGATCTTCAACAAGATAAATTGACACAGTAACTACAGCAACAGGGTCAAAGTAAATCAGGGAGGATAAGATAGTATAGGAGAGGACAGGGTTTATATCAGTTGTTCATAGGGTCTCTTTGAGTTGTACTCAACTTGACAGCACCTAACAACAACAACATAGGCCTCCACTGTCAGCCGCAAAAAGTGCTTGAGGCTTTCCCAAGTCTTCCTGCACCAACCTGTCCAGCTCCTTCAGCCAGGCCTGGCCTTATTATTTCTTCATCAGAGCAAGCTCCCCCATGGGATCTACTAATATGAGACCCGTGGTCAGGATTCCCTTCCTGGAAGACCTGCTTTGCCCAACTACCACAATAATACCTCCTTCAAGTCTCAGGTCAGATTCCCAGCTCAGCATTTTCTCCTAACTCCAAGAACTTCTGGTTATAATTGGGATGCAAGAATTAAAAGAAAAGACAATGATATTTTGAGATTTCTTGACTTACTACTCCAGCTATGGTATTTCTTAAGGTAATAGTCCAAATACTGCTGTCCTAGAGCTCACTATTCTCACAGAAGTACCCAGTCTATAGCTAAGATCTACTAACTGAGTCATTGTTGGCTGACCCTATCTCAGTCATCTCCTGAGAATGAACATCAGAGTGAATATGTATACATGATCAGAGCCAAATTATCTAGGGATCCTTTTTCCATTCAAAAGATTGAAAGTTGGTTCCCAGAGATTGGTTGTCCAATGCACAGCGATCTGGAAAAATCTCTCTAAAGCACTTACTAAATTAATTCCCACAAAAGAGGGACACAGCAGGAAAATTAGGAAGAGGCTTCAGTCATGGTCCAATACCTGAGGGAATCTGAGAAGGCTTCTACACCATACTTCGAAATGCTGTAGGCCCCTCCACATACAGACAGCCGGCCACTGATGCTGGAGATATTGACCACTCGGCCCCTTGCCTTCCTCACTAGGGGCAGCAGGCTCAAGGTCACGTCAATCAGCCCCAACAGGTTCACGTCCAGTATTTTCATAAAGTCCTGTTTGGTCAGCCACTCATTGGGTGCCAAAGGCATGCAGATGCCAGCATTATTCACCAGACCCCATAGACCTGGATGGGGACAAAGAAAAATAAGAGAGAGACTTTGACAACTTCGACAAGAGTTTCCGATTAGACACAACTATGGTCCATATTCACATTCAAACTGAGCTTACTATTTAAGTACCATAAGGGAAAGGAGTGGCATTGAAGTTAGAACCAGGTTGCAGCAGGCTACAAGTGTGTTACACTGCTGACTGAAAGATCAATGTTTTGAGTCCACTAGTTTCTCCAAAGTGATACCGGTGATTGTTTGCTGTTGAGTCAGAACCAACTCATAGCTGACCCTCTAGGAGGTTTTTAAAGGCTACAGTAAATCGCATGGGAGGAGATAGTTCATCCTTTTTCCCTGGAGCATCTGGTGGATTCAAACTGCATACCTTTGAGATTACAGCTTCTTACCAGGAAGCCATCAGAGCTCCCGTCGCTTCAAGGTAGAAAGATGGAAATCTTCCTTAACAATTTAAACCACATGAAGACTCTCGATGAGTCAGAATGACTTGAAGACAGTGGGCTGGATTTGACTTAAGGCTCTTGTGAAAGGCAGGGATGATCCTCCCTTACCTTTTTACCCCCAGTGTGTGTCATTAATTTGGGTTTGAGAAATGCATACACGGTGTCTGAAAAAAATAAAGTGAGTGCTCAACAAATACCTCTTGGAGGACAGAGAGTAACATAGAGACAGGAGAAAATACCTAGGCTGAGAAGCAGAATGAAGAGCAAAGGGGGGATAAGGTAGGGAAAAGAGAAATGAGAGGAGAGTAAATTCATTACCTTCCACACCATTACATTCTTTACTAAAGGCACAATTGAGGAACTTCAAGAATACTCTGCATTTAACATCAGGGTTGGACCCTAAAAACATCTGCACTAATTCTCATGAAACACCTATTTTGGAGCCAAGTATACACTCTGAAACTGAGGAAATTTGACTTTTACCACGTGGCTAATCCCCAGGAAATGTTTGGGAAGGCGGTGAGGCTACCTTACATTCCACCGTAGCAGGAAGCCTCCTGCTTTTCTGGAAAAAAATGTGACCTTCCCTCCTACACTCTTCCCAGACCCCTGGCATCTGATGCACCCAGCACTGAGGAAGATTCCTTGGGAAATACATAGTAAAGGAGAAAACATCCATAATTTAAAATAGAGTTACCAACTCACGGAGCTTAGGTCAGCAGAGGCTGGGTTTCTGGTGAGTTCTAGATGGGAAAAGATGCTTTTGTACCTGAAACTACTGAGAAAAGAAGGTCCTGCAAGACTAGTACCTCCCCTGGCCAGAAGCCATCCATAAAAGAAATACAATATTTAATATAACTGTATTATTTTAATTAAAAAATGCAGCTGAGAATAGTAGTCAATATCCACAGAATACTTGACTGAGATATTATTTATGCCATCAAAAACTAAAAAACACTTTGAGCATCTAACAATATCTAATTGCTTAAAATCATGTACCAATACAGTGCTCCAAGTGCCACTTTTTCTCCAAGGCATCTGCCTGAACACAGGTTATTCTATTCTTGCCTAACCCTGATTACAGCCAATTATTTCAGAAGTTTTGACCGGAAACTCTAGAACTCATGTTCTAGAGACCCCAAACCTCAAGCCCATGAAAGTGAAAATATCTTGGGGTTCTTCACAGAAAGGAAGCAAAAAGGTCTTCCCATCACAGCCAGGAAAAACACAAACAGAAATGACATGTATGGTACCTTTGTCCCCAACACGTTCCTTCACCCACTGGGTGGCTGCAACAATGTTTTCTGTCTGGGTAACATCCAGTATCACTGTCTCCAGCCTATCTGATGTTTGACTTCTCAGATTTTCTGCTGCTTGTTCCGATCGACATGCAGCCAGCACTCTCAAACCTCGCAAGTCCAACTGCTTGGCCAGTAGGTTCCCAAAACCTGAGCTACAGCCTGTAATCAAGACATACTTGTCTTGAAGGTGGCTCACCACCTTCTTTTCTCGGTACCAGTGCAGAAGGTAGTAGAGACCCACCAGTCCCATAAAGTAGATCCACATGGCTTTTCCAGAGAGACACCAGGCAGAGCTTCAGCTGAGCTAGAACTCGAGCTCCTGTCTGTAGCACTGTGTACTTTGACCTCCAGTTCTCTGTGGTGGAGTCTCAGTCACTTTTCCTGTTTATATCCATTCTTAAATGCTTTGGGCTTCATTCCAGTAACCTGTGCTTTGGTTTGTTTACGATTGCTCTGATAGATATCATTGATTTTCCCAAGTCGCATTCTCCCAAACCACCTTCCAGGTCCTTTTCTCTTTCCCTGTGCCCACTCAGGTCCACACTGGAGTTCCCTCTAATAATCTACATGGTATACCCAGTAAGGAACATTTAAGAATTTTTCAAGGTTTCAGACTTTTTGTCTAGTTCATTCACGACCTTGGAAGCATCACTGGAACTGATTCAAATTATTAATATTATAGTAAATGGGAAAGATAGCCAGAATGGAAAAAAACATGGGGAAAATATAGTTATATACAATCTTACGAAAAGATAGCTGCATAGCAATGTGTATTTGCTTATTCTAGATATTTCTGTAACTGGGGCCATATAATTTTGCCTTCTGGAGCTGACTTTTTTCTTTCTATATAATGTTCTCATGGGTCGTCCATGCCATAGCATGTATCAGAAATTCATTCTCTTTTCTATGGTTGAGTATAATATTCTACTATGATACTATACTTATATATTGCTGCTGTTGCTATGTGTTGTCGAATCATCAATGACTCATAGTGACCTTATGAATAGCAGCTTTGAACCTTGCAATATCCTGAGCTAACTTCACCTTCTCGGACACATCTAATCCCATTGCCACAGGCACTCATCCAAGGTCTTCCTCTCCTAAGCTGATTCTCTATCCCTCCAATTACGAGGTCCTTCTTCAAGGATTGGTACTTCCTGGCATCATGCCCAAAATGTGAGACAGACTCAAAGTTCTTGTCTCCAAGAACATCCTGGTTTCACCCTTTACAGGAAAGAACTGTTTGTTCTCTTTGTAGTCCATAGTATGTTCAGTACTCTTCTCTGGCAACTCAAAGGCACTGATTCTTCTTTTGTCATCCTTAGTCACTGTTCAATTCCCAGATCCATGATGAGCAATTGAGAAGACCATAACCTAGATCAGGCACACCTTAATCTCTAGACTGCCATCATTGATCTTTAGCACTCTGGAGAGGTCCCTGACAGCAGATTGTTCCAATGCAATTAATCTTTTGATTTCCTAGTTGCTAGTGCCAAGGACGTTGATTGTGAATCCAAGGGAGAAAAAAATCATTAACAACCTCGGTCTTTTCTCATAATGCTGTCTATTGGACTGGTAGTGAGAATCTTTGTTTTCTTGATGTTTATATGCATTCCATCTTCAGGGCTGCAGTCCTTAACCATCTGCAGCAAATGCTTCAGGACCTCAGTTTCGGGGAGCGAGGTTGCTTCATCTGCATAACACAGGTTGTTGAGTTTTCCTCCTAGCCTGATGCCACAGGGCTAAGTAGGCAGATGGGGCCTGGGGTGAGGAGGTGAGGCATTTGACTCCTTCCTGTCTCTTCTGACAAGTGAGGAAGTGGCTGTGTGGTGGGCACCCACAAAGAACACTTGGCCGAGGGTAGTGGAAGCCCAACACCAGGAACGAGAGAGAGAGGGAGACACCACCAGCAAGCAGCACGACAGGCAGAAGGCGCAGGCTGGACAGCCACCCAGGAGGTGATACACACAGAGGCGCCACCAGGGATCTGGAGGCCAGAGGGTGGACAGGAGGAGTACTGGAGGGGAGCTGAGACAAGCCAGAAAAGCAGCAGCACAGAGTAGGGAACTAGAACTCCACTCCACCAACAGTTTCTGCACAGTCCCCGCACGCCCCACAGCAGCCCTCATGCAATGGGTCACGGGCCTCTGGTGGTGACCCAACACACATGGTGAGGCCAGTTCATGGGATCAGACCAAGAATAGAATAGCCCCATCAATTGTGAACCACATTACTAAGACAGAAATGAAGGCAGTAAGGGCACAAGCAAGGCGGGTAAGGATGAGAGCCACTGAGGGATGAAGGCATGGGCATGAGAAGGTGAGTCATGAAGAGACTCATTGGACACAGTTGCCAGGAAGTGCACACATAGCCTCCCACCCAAGCATTAGAACAACAGGATGGCCCATGATTCAGCCTGCAATACCAGCTGAAGAAAAATTGATGCTTTTAAACTCTGGTGCTGGAGAAAATGCTGACTATCCCAAGGACTGCCAAAAGGACAGATATGTCTTGGAGAAAATGCAACCAGAATGCTCCTTGGAGGCAAAGATGACAAAGCTTCATCTCACATACTTGGGGCACATTGCTAGGAGAGGCATTTCCTTGGAGACGGATATCCTGCTTGCAAAGGTGGAAGGCCATTGAAAGAGAGGATGACTACCTCAGTGAGACAGTTTGACTCAGTGATGGAAGCAATGGGCTCAAGCGTGTCAGAGATAGGCTTGATATAAGTCATACTCAACTTCAGGGCACCTAACAACAACAAATAATATGAGAGGAGATTACTTATCTCTTTCTTTTTTTTTTTTTTTTACTTATCTCTTTCTGCAGTCCTGCTGGGGAATATAAACTGCCAGGGAACATGGCGTGGCCATTGAGCCATGAACTACATCACCAGAACTCCTTGAGTTGTTCCACTAATTGTTTGCTCAGCATACAAATTTAATAGGTAAGAAGAAAAGAAAATCCTGACACTTACCCGTCTGTTCTCTTCTGCCATTTTGACAACAGCTTTTTGGTTTAGGTAGATTTTTGTTTGAGCACAATTAAGTGTTCTAGGATTCTCGTTCTTCTCAATGTTAGCCATAGTTTGTTGTGATCCACACAAATGTCTTTGCATAGTCAATAAAACACAGATAGACATCCATCTGGTATTCTGTGTTGTCAACCAAGATCCATCTGACATCAGCAATGACATCCCTGGTGCCACGACCTCTTCTAAACTCAGCTTAAACTTCTGCCCATTCCTGTCAATATATAGTTCCAGTCATTTTTTGATGATCATCAACAATATTTTGCTTGAATGTGATATTAATGATATTGTTTGGTAATTTCCACATTCTGTTGGATCACCATTCTTGGAATTGAGAATTAATATGGATTTTTTTTTTCAGTCAGTTGGTCAGGCAGCTGTCCTCCAAATTTCCTAGCATAGATTGCTGAGCATGTCCAGAGTTGCATCATATGTTAATAAGAATCCCATCTTTTCCTGGAGCCTACTTTTTTGCCAGTGTCTTCACTGCAGCCTGAACTTTTTCCTGTGCTATCATTGGCTCTTGTTCATATGGTTGTTGTTGTCTTTGTTGTTATTTGTCATCGAGTCAATGATAAGTCATAGCAAACATATGCATAATAGCTCTGAACCCTGCTCTATCCTGAACTCACTGTCTCTGACACTCCAACCCTCATTACCCCAGTTACTGTGTCAATCTATCTCATCATGGGTCTTCCTCTTCTGTGCTATCCTTCCATCTTTCCAAGCATGATATCCTTCTCTAAGCACTGGTCCATTCTGGCAACATGCCCAAAGTATGTGAGATGAAGCCTCAAAATCCTTGCTTCCAAGGATCAGCTTGGTTTCATCTTCTCTAAGACATATCTATTTGTTGTCTTGGCAGTATGGTATATTCAATACTCTTCTCCAGCACCACAACTCAAAGGCCTCAATTCTTCTGTCATCTTTGGTCATTGTCCAGCTTTCTGATGCATAATAAGTAATTGAGAAGACCATGGCTTGGATCAGGTGTACCTTAGTTTCTAGACTGACATCATTGCTCTTTAGCAGTCTGGAGAGGTCCCAGACAGCAGATTTTCCTAATGTATTACATTATATCTTTTTACTTCTTGACTGTTAGTGCCAAGAGTGTTTATTCTGGAGCCTAGTAAGCTATAATTGTTAACAATCTCAGTCTCTTTTCCATCTATCATGATGCTGCTTTCTGAAATTTTTCGATGTCTACCAATTCTCTTTGGTACAGTGATTCTGTGTATTCTTTCCATCTTCTTTGGATGCTTCCTGAATCATTCAAGATTTTTTTTTTCCCCATGTCATCTGTCAGTATTGGAACTCTAGGTTTGAATTTGTTTTTCAGTTCTTTTAGCTTGAGACATGCAGAGCAAGTTCTTCCCTCTTTATTCTCTGATTCCAGCTCTTGCCATATTTGTTAAAATACTCTGTCTTCTCAGACTGCCCTTTGAAATCTTTTATTCAGCTCTTTTACTTTGGCTTCTTTTCCCCTTGGCTTGGCAATTTTCACAGTTACTTTTGACATCCATTTTGGTATTTTTCTTTTTCCTCTCTCTCTGTAATGACCTTTTGCTCTCTTCATGTATGAGATCCTTGATTTCATCCAATAGTTCCTCTGGTCTTCAATCTTTGGTGATCAGTCCCTCAAACCTGTTCTTAAGATGATTTTTTTTTAATTCAAGAGAGAATGACCCAAGGATGTGTATTTGGTTCTTGTACATTTGTTTTAATCCTCTTCCGTTTCAGTTTGAACTTACTTATGAGTAATTGATAATATTTTCCACAGTCTGCAACTGGCCTGGTTCTGACTGCTGAAAATGAGCTTCTCCAACAATTCCTTCCACAGATGTAATCAATCTTATTCCTCTACAGTCTATCTGTCAGTCAAGGTCCCTGTGTAAAGTCGCTGTTTGTGTTTCTTTTAAAAAGGTATTTGCTATGTATAAATCATTAAATGTATCAAATTCAATCATTCACTCTCCAGCCTCATTTCTATCACCAAGTCAACTTTCTAACTACCATTCCTTCTTTATTGTTTCCAACTTTTGCATTCAAGTCACCAATAATTATTAATGCTTCTTGATTGCATATTTGGTCAACTTTAGATTGCAAAAATTTGTAGAAATATAAAATAAAATAAAAACTTACAAGACTAAAAGTAAAAAACTAGAAGTATCGAGCTGTAAATAAGGAAAACTATTTTCACCCAAATCACATTTTTTGAGGAAATAAGGAAA